CACGACGCTCTTCCGATCTCCCCAAAACCCCAAAACCCCTCTCATGAATTATACTGATTTGAATTACTTTTAAAAATTAAAATTTATATAGATAGATAAATAAATTAATAATGTCATCATCTCAGGCTCTAGCAGAAAGTCAGGGTAAACCAAGCAGGAAAAGAAGAAATTTATCTACATAGGTTTAAAACAAAGCAAGACTATCGATTTGGGATAAAGATCCATAAGAGCTCTTTAATCAGTTTGACTAAAGAAGGGAGTAACTAACTTATAATGTATTTTCTAATTGCTTTACATAATTCAATAGGATGTAATATAAATATTAAAAAAGCCTTCTGAATAAAGGCAAAAGAAGGATATTTTCAAGCTGGATGAGTATTTCGTAAATAATAAGTTTTTTAAGAATCTGGCTAAAGATACAGATAGAGAAACCACTTATCACTGTTATAAGATTATGAACTTTCAAACATTTTATGCAGGAGAGACTATATTTCATTTCGGTAAGTAAGAAAAATAAGCTAGTTTTATCAAATCTATTTATGTATCAAGAGTTTCAATTATCTCTTTCATTCTAATGAGATGTTATCAAGTCACATAATATTTTTTTATAAAACTCTTATAAATTATTCTTTAGGCGATACTGCTTTTACATTTTACATTATGCTGAGAGGAGAAGTTGCAGTCAAGATACCTTAGGCAATAGATTTAGAAATAACACCGGATGATCTCTTTATCTTCTGCATTTAATTCTTTGATGATATTGAATGGAATAAATTCCCATTAGGAGATGTTGTCAGACCAGAAATTAAATCTGAAATTTAAAGACTTGGAGTGACATTCGAGAACTTAATAGAAAAAATCCCCTAAATATAAGACAAATTAAAGAAAAAGGAATTTTAGATTCCTTATTGCTTAAATGAGGTTTTGGATGGGAAAAGATTGGGCAATATTAAAGTTTGGGTTGTCAAGGAAGTTTCATTAATGGGAGAGGGTGAAAGCTTTGGAGAACTGGGATTAATGACTCAAAAACCTAGAGCAGCATCAATACAATGCTGAGCAGAGACTGACGTTGCAGTTTTAGATAAAAGAGAGTATTAAGTTATTGTGGGTAACGCAATGAAAAGACAAGTTAATGAAAAGGTTAAATTCTTCAAGAATTTTAGAATATTTTCAAATCTCTCTAAAAATAAGATGCAGAGGATGCTTTATTACTTTTAAGAGAGATAGTATCATAGAAAGCAAGTTGTATTCATGGAAGGGATTGATAATACTGATGGTGTATACTTCATTAAAAATGGCGAATTTGAAGTCTCGAAAAAAGTCAAAATTGAGAAACAAGAGGATAAGGCTCATGTTGTAAATTAGTTACAGACTGTAAATAAGTAACTCAAAGATTCCATGAAGATTAATTTTCAGCATACTTAGTAAATAGACATCTCTTTAAAGTAAATAAGACTATACTTACAAGGAGCTAATGAAATATTTGGACTTGAAGAGGTAGCTGATAACAAGCCCAAAAGATTAACGACTGTTGTCTGCTCAACAAATCAAGCCACTGTATTCTATATTAAGAAAGAGGATTTTATCAATGGAGTAAATTTGTTCAAGTTCAGCGATAAAATTTTGCAAGAAAAATTTTTGAAATAGCAACTTCTTAACCTCAGAATGGGTGAGACTGAGGTATTTCGACTTAAAAAAGAAGAAGAGTTTGAGTAGACAAGAAAATAGAAGATACTTGAAAGGGAATCTGAGAAAACAATGTTAATACAAGTGAATGATGAATTCGACCAGAAATAATTTTAAAAAGCGACTAAAAAGTTAATATCAGATAAAAAGACTTTGAATTTTAGTCCTGGACTACTAAATCAAAGATTAAAGTTTATCAAAATGAAAGGAGAAATGGAGAGAATGGAAAGGACAAATTAAAACGATGGATTTGCCTCACACAGATCTGATGGTAATCACCGAAGAAATAAATCTGAGTCACCTATCAATTTACCAACAGGATGAAGCGTAGAGGATACTAGTTTGAATGAAATTCAGTTAAATATAGAGCAGAAGTCATCAACAAGGATACTTATTAATGCTAATAAAATGGATAGAAATAATCAGTTAAGCCCTCTATTTAATGAAAAGATAGCTAATCCTATATCCTATTAGTAAAGTAATTCTAAAAGTTAATTAGCTCATGCTTATTATGCTCTTGAAACAGGTACTGTGACTACAAAATAGTCTTCACCAATGACAAAAAGCATAAGAACTTACAGAGTTAAGACTTCTAAATCAAATAGTAAAAATCTAACAGCTGTTAAATCCATGGCAGGATTGATGTAAAGCTAAAATGACATACCTTTAGATGAAGAAGAGAAATTTATGCAGATTCAAAGTCTTGAAAAATATGATCAGAAATAAATCACATAAACAGCATTTAATGTTCCACAATACTTGAATCAGACTTACAAATTCTACAATAAGGTCAAATAACCTTCTTGGATGGAGAGACCATTGGTCTAATTAAGATAAAAACTTAAAACTTCATTACCTAGCTAATAGCATTCGAAGAAATCCTCTTATACCTTGAACCAAGACTTACAAAATTTAAAATAACTAAATATCCCTTAACCTCATCTACCAACTATGCCGATTATAGAATCTCAACCAACTACAGAATAGATGCCTTCATAGAGGAAAAGTGTATAAATAAATCAGCCTATTTAAAATCAAAAGAGCGCTCAGCTTTTGACTATGAGCCCTAGCCTTTTACCAGCTGTCACTTCATAAAAATATTTAAATGCTAAGCTTTCGTAAAACAACATTATTTTATCTTAAGATCATCATCCAGATGATTGCAAAACTTGTGTATTCTGTCGGAAATAAGCTACAAGATAATTAATTCAAAGACCCATCACTAAATAAGAAATATCCAAAAAAATTGAGAAAGAGAAAATCATATCATTTAGGGAGAATCTTTCTAAAAAATTTAATAGAAACCTTATTAGAGAATAGAATGATGCTCTCAACAGAGTCTACTAATTTTACTGATTTTGATTTATACGCATAATTATTTCAACAATTAAATTTCACAATTACCCTAATTATTGAAACTTATCCTTAGATAAATGTTCATCCGGGGTTTTGGGGTTTTGGGG